CCTTAATTTAAGCCCAGCCTATTCCTTGAAACCCATTTTCATAAAATTATTTTTCTATTTTAAATATTTAACTTAATTACTATTAAATCCACTTTAAATTGTTTCCACATTTTTTAAAGCACTTTCTTGCATTACAGATCAGTTTTAGATATTTGGCATAATGTGATATTTTGTTTTTTATTATTATTATTTTGTTTCTCCTGCAGAATCTGCAGGGCCTGACAGGCACCCCTCTGGTGGCAGGCAGTCCTGTCCGTCATGACAACAGTGTGCAGGGGAACCCTGTGGAGGTCCAGACCTTCCAGCCTCCGTGGAAAACCCTCAGCGACTTCRCCCTGCAGACCGACCTGGACCAGCCTGCCTTCCAGCAACTGGTAGGCTATTTATCATATTTTTWAAAAAAATGTACCAGTTTTATGAGTATTTTGTAAGATGAGAAAAAAGGTTGTTTTTGAGTTGCATCAAAAAGGAAGAACTGACTAAAGCTGGCTGTATTTTTATACTCTTTTATATAGTTTTTAAGCTGATGCACATTAATAGTAATATTTTGATTAGATGTGATACATTATTTGGAAAAACAAAAAAATATAAAGTTTGATCCATTTGCAYATCTTAAAACAAACAACTCACCCAAACTAAAGTATATAAATGAAAGAAARGGCAACTCTTGGCTGATTAGAGGCAGGCTAGACCTCCTCCAATTGGAAGGTCGTGCGTTTGATCCCCTACAGCGTGCTGAAGTGTCCCTGGGCAAGAAACAGCATTTCCTCATTGAGATACTTATGAGTGCACTGTATGAGTGTGTGTTTGTGAAACTCAAAATGCTTTACTGAGACTGGAGAGATTAAAAAAAAAGTGTTTTAAGGAGCTTTTACTATTAATCATATCTTAAATTATTCCACAGTCTGGGCTATTAAAATGGGTTGTTTGCAGACAATAGAAAAGAGAGAAAATTTTGTTTAAAACACCATAAATAAATTCAGGTGAACTTGAAGTCAAGCGTAAAAAGCTTTTTTTTTCTTTTGTAAGCTTGATTGAATTTATCTTATATTTGATCTTTTATGTTTCGATCAAACTTTTTTTTTTTTTTTGGGGTGGGGGGTTAACGTTAACATTTGGAGTTCCCACACTCAGTGACTTACAGGCACATTTGCATATCTAAAAATAAAACATTTTTAAATATGGGATCAAACCAACTAAAGGCTACTATTATATCCGCATTCTGGGCTATAAAAAGAGGGCTGCATTAATGAAAAAGGAAAAGAAACAGGGAAAAATATGCTTAAAATACTACTAAATACACATARCAATGGCCTTTAATTATTCTGGTTATTTATTTTAAATTAATGTGCAAAAATCWGATTTTTAGCAGCTTGATTTTATTTTGTCTTTAATCTGATTAATGATGAGACTGACGTTTTGATTAACATTTTAGAATAAAAAATCAGAAATGCTGAACTTATTAAAAAACAGGATAAAATTTTTATATATCTACATTATATATAATTTGTGTTGAGATTAAATTTGTGTTGTTTAAATCCCATTTGTTTCCTTTTCAGGTGTCTTTCTCAGAGTCGGGCTCCCTGGGAAACTCCTCGGGCAGCGATGTGACCTCCCTGTCGTCTCAGTTACCGGACACGCCGAACAGCATGGTACAGAGTCCTGTGGACACGTGAGGAGCCAGCGGGGTCAGCTGGAGGCCCATGCACCTTCCCAGGACTTCTCACCCCCACCTATCATCATCGTCCGCACCAAGAGACATTCACTGACATAAAAAGGATGGATAATGCTGCAGGACACATTCAGGTCCAGACTGGAGGATTTTAGTGTGTCTGATGTGGGGGTGGCAGCTTTTGACTGTATCTAACAGTCCTGGATGCACACGGACTCCTTGCTGCCAACACCTGACCCTGGACATGTTGGGAATATGGGACGAGACTCGCGCACATGGGGGCCTGCATGTGCAGAAGGTCAAAGGTCGCCGTGTTTGTAAGGAAACTCCAACCTGTGTAGACGTGCATGACCGACTCCTGTAAGTTATTGGATCAGAGGGGGGAGATGCGCTCTGCTGCAGTTTTCTCCAGAACATAAGTTATTATTGACATTATTTMTTACAAGGGCAGACATAGCTGAACTTATCAATAAAAAACAATTGCTTGTTGCATGCATCCATTTGTTCCATGAACCTTCTAGACCATTTTTTTTAATTGCTTTTTGAAGTAAATGTTGACGGGTTCAGCAGTTCCAGCTTTTCTAAAAGGCAAATTAAATAATAATTACGAAAAGTTTCAGTGTTTGGCTTCGACGGACCATTCTGGCAGCTTTAATCTGCTTATATATTTGGCTTTACTCAATTTCTGAGCCAAGTGGATCAGTGACTGATGGCTGACAAGATATTATTAAGCATTTGCCCTCTGTGTCAGGGGTCACCGCATCAGGCACAATAGGTTGCTGCCAGTTTAATCTGCCTGCCTTTTCTTTTTTTGAGGTTTTGGATATTTACACTGGCTCTTATTTCTGTCATTGCTTGCAGCCCGATCCGATGCAAACCTTGCTCGTTGAGGTGATAAAAAGAAAAATTTAGATAATTGTCGTAGTGTTCTACACATGAAGCCCTACAGCTGAAAAGTACAAGTCTAGACAGACTGCAGGCCGTGGCGGCCTCTTATCTCCATCTGGCATCACCTGTAAAGGATCCACTGAGTGGACTCTGAACAAAACGCACAGAGACGCAAGGGCTGAGGGGGAACTCTCGGGCCTGCAGACGCATCCCGGCGTGCCTCGAGTTTATTTTCATTCCAGCAGGAATCCTGAACGACAAATAGCCTCTGGACAAGAGAGCGTGCAGGTCAAGCWGGGACCGACACACTACACCTCAACAATTTGTTGGGGAGGTTCGGATTTTATTCRGTGAAGAAAACGGAGCCTTGTTGGATCTGTCCGAAATATTTTAAGGAATGGCAAAGATTTAAGGGCAGCAATACGGTTTAAAGAAAATACACCCATGTTGAATATAAGACATGCTTGTAGAAAGCTTAGACTGTGTGCTAAATGTGAAATATTTTAGTAACGTATGATCGGACTTGACAGAAACATCAACGCTGCCTCAAAAGTGTAACTTAACAAGTTCCAGTGCTAAAAATGAAAAAAATTAAATAAAATAAAAAAAGTTTTCTCCTAAAAAACTCAAAATTCAGAATAAATGCAAAATAATTCAGAAACGTTTTTATTTATGTTAAATTGTCAATCTGGAGAAAAAAAATCGTACATGAATATAAAGTCACTTTCCAGCTTTTTAAGTCACCGAAGAAAATTAAACAGTGTTCCTCGTGTGTAGAAAAAAAATAACAAAAAACAAAAACACATAACCATAAGTACTTTATTTACCATTATAAAGGTGAACAACTCAATAAATTATAAACGCTCTTAACATGGCGATGAAACAAAAAGAAATGACAGAAATCGTAAACAAAACGTGCGACAGAAYGTGTAACTGGCATTCTGATAGAAGAACTCTAGTCTTAAACATTCAAATACCTCACCCCCCAACAAATATAATAATAACAATAAATTAACACAAATGATGTTTAAGAAAAACAGTTTGGCAAATCAGAAAATACTGTATAAGTAAATATTTTAAATTTTTTTACCAACAGATTAACAAGAACAATCTGAACAGCTTACTTGGCTAGTTGTGTTTAATGAACGAACATAAAAAAATGTGCAAATTATTTTTATGGTCAGTATAATCTTCATGAAATCCAAACAGATACAACATTTAATAAGGCTTAACATGTCTGATGAACTTAAGTTATTTTTGAATTAGACCAAGAAAAACTAACTGAACGCTTCCACATCCTCCTAGTGTTTTTTTTTTTTGAAATGTCGAAGCTGTGCTTTTTAAATTGGGGACAATGTGCGAGTCCATCACTCCTCCTGCTTCTTGAGGAAAAACTGCAGAGCTGAATCCCACTGATCTCGTGGAAAGCGGACAGACAACACGCAGTAATCCACCATCCACTGGACAACTGTGCAGACAGAAACAGATTGAGTTTCACCAAAACAAAAAACTGAGACAAATTTATTTTATTCGTAAAAAAAATAGCATCCTTTAACAACCTTTATAGATTAAACAAATGAAACATGATCAACTCACCCRTTGTATTAATTTTCCCGTTAGAATCCTTTTCATTTTCAGCACAGTCCTAAAACAGAAGACATGCTTAATGATACGTCGCTGCATTCTCTTTAATTATATAAACACGCCCCCAGCACTGAGTCAAACTACATTAACCACCATGTAAAGCTGCTGTGACAGTTCCATCTCACCGTGATTTACTCAGCAAACACGACCGTCCAGGATTAACTCGCTCCACTTGGAGGAATGCTCCTGAGCTTAACACGGTTGAGGGCAGCGGGGCAAGACGCCATGCATTATTGGTTTGTTTGAAAGAAACGACAATAGCTCGTCTCCTTCTGAATGGGAGTTAATCRGTGTTTAAACAGCGGCGGCAGCGGCCTGGTGAGGGAGGGCTTGTTGTCAGAGGAAGATGAAGGAGATGAGTTGTTTACCAGGAGTTCAACCAGTGGCAGGTAAATCCACCGTGAAGGAATCCATTTGTCTGTGGTAAAAGCTCGCCTGTTTCAGATTCACCGGAGGCTCAAGATGAGCGGCTCGTCAATTAGCTAATGCAGGGCTAATACGATTGTCTCTAGTGTGGAGAATAACGCAGATTTTCTCTGGAAGTAAAAACTCCAGAGGATGAGGTTACAATTTTACAGGGAATTTATTCACTCAGATAAACTGGTTACAACTAAGACAATTTTACAGATAGACCTAAAGTTTGGTGTGGTGGTACAGCAGAAATGGACCCTCAGCACATCTTGAAGGCTAACAAGACGTTTCACTTATCTTCTTTATAGAAACATAAATATGTGTCTGTTAGCAAAATATCTCACGCACCACAAGACAGATTTGAATGAAACGTTCAGGAAATAATTAGCTGTACTTCTACGACTGATTACCTTTTGAAGCACAACTAATTCAAGATGGCCGCCACAGCCAACATCACTTGCAAAGCACAAAAATGGCAATAATTCAGTCAATTTTTTTTTACACATTGAACTAAAATTTGGTATGGAAGTAGCTGAGAGCTCCTCGCTGTGCAATATCGTTGCCTATTTTGTCTGTTAGCAAAATATTTCCTGAACCATTGGATGGATTTTATTGAAACACTCAAAAAGTAATTATTGGATGTAAATTTACAACTGATTAACTTTTGTGGACGATCCAAATTAAGACTAGTACGGCCAGTCAACAAGGAAATGAATATAAGTCAGCCAATTTTAGATACTGAGTTAAAAATTTTTGATGCGGTAGTAAAAAAGTCATTTACAACACAAAGTTTGACCAAAGCGGCGTCACTGCTGTAGTTTCTGATCAGCTGATTTTAGTTTAAAACATAAAAGGCTGCAGACAACGTTTCCTCTCAGGCCTTTAATTTACCTGAATGAACGTGGCGAGCAGCACGCAGCTCATCTCCTGCTGCAGGATGACCTTGTTCTGGGAGTTGTTGTAGCAGGCCGAGATCAGGCTGGGGAACAGCACTCTGATGAGGCGCGGGTGGCTGAAGTACTGGAAGGGCAGCTGACACAGCTTCTGTAAGACGCTGGGCTGGCGGCCAGACTGCACGATCACCTGGAACACACAGCGAGCGAGCGAGCCGGGGCTCAGTCAGTCCCTAAATCCAGTCATTGGCACTGGTTGTAAATCACCACCGTGTGCCCCTCCCACATGTAAAGCTGCCACTAAAACAACACACAAACAGCCGTTAGGAGGAGACCTGGAGGGGAGAAGACTCCCTCTTCACAATTGCATACTGAAAACACAATGATGGGATGTTTTGTTGCAAAATGTCAACAGTGGGACTGTAACAGGAGGAAAATGAGAACTTGTGTTGTCATTAGAGGCTCAAACTTCACTTTCAAATTTTGTGTTGAACTCTTTAAAAACAATGTCAGGGGAGGAGTGAAGCTCAGGTTAAGAGGGCATTCACAGTGCAAAAACCTCAACTGGAATTAGAGACGCTTTTATATCCCTTAATCACACAACACATGCAGGTGACTGGAATTAAATCCAAAAATCACCCTCAGAGTCATTTATTTAAAGAAGGGGGAAAAAAGGTGGTTCGATCTTCGCTCGAGACGCCCATCAGAGACCATCCCAGAGGCAGAAGGTCAACATGCTGAATCCAGGCTGCGCGGCTTTACAGGTACAGACTGCAGGACTGCAGGCTCGACATCAATGGAAACCAGAAGTCTGTGGTTAAGTTTCCAAAGTCACAGTGACATAAATTCACAAGATTTACAAGATTCCCCCCCCTCCCCCACCCCGCAAAATACGCACTAATACTCTTCCACTGGCCGCCCCTTTGATAATGCACTCCAAGTTTGAGCGGCAGAGTAAACAAAACGATAAGTCATCGCTTTTTATCAGTTTGAAGTGAAGCTTCTCAGAGCTGACCTCTTTCTGTGTGTGTGTTCAAAAAGGACACGAAACGGTTTCGTTTCCGATCATCAATTTGTTCCAAAAATAAAATAAATAATAATAAAAAAATAGGATCCGCACAGACAGGTCAGTCTCAACTTAAAACGCTTTATAAATATTTGAAAATCTCAAGTACAATTATTTCTTTTCTCCACTGGAAATGTTTAATGTGTAGATAAAAATCAGTAAATTAGATTGTAAGACGAATATTAAAAAAACATGCTCTTTTTGTGTTTCTAGTCTTTTCTTTTCTAAAGGAATTTAGGACTCGAGGAAATATATTTACTGAAGATAATGCGTTTAGAGCTACTTTCTTTCAGGGTTTTTTAATACTACTTTTTTGTCACTAAAACTAACATCATCATATTTGATCTCAATTAAGATGTTGCACAAAGAAAAAAATGGGAGCAAGCACCAACAATCAAAGAAAACTAATAAAATATAGTAGAATAMGCAGAAAAATAAGCAGAAGAAGAAGAATCTTTTCGTTCTTGCGTTTTAATCCTGAGTATTCACGTATCATAATTTAACACCACAGCAAGTAGTGGATGTTTGAGCTGGAGCTCTTAGGTGATCCGTCCCACAAATCACCCGGCAATCTCATAATCCTCCACCAGGCATCTTCATTCCATCTTCAGCTGCTTAAACAAATTGTCCGCCCTCAAGTGCCTTATGAAGAAAGACATAAAACAAAGGGAGTCTGGAGGTAGAAGCAAACCCACCGTCTTCCTAATTTACAAACTTCTACCAGGTGGAGAGGCAACCTCCGAGTCTGAAAACACTAAACCGACATTCAGCTGAAGTATCTCCGGCTCAAAGCTCAGCGTCATAAAACTCACATCCAGCATCTGGTCCACGTTTAAAACAGAACCCTGAGAAAACCCCGAGTGTCTTGGCTGCTCTGTTCTTTCTTACGCTCGGAGACGTGGCTTCTTCCAAACAGCTTTACGGTTACATAACTTCCTCGCCATTTCCAATGACAACAAAGAGTGTGTAAAATTAACGTTCCGAAACAAATAAATTCCTGGGAAAAACGGGTAGGAAGCACAAACCGTCATTAAAGTAGACCAACCAGCAAGCTGTAAAAACTAAGTATCTGTCATTCCTTGATGCACAGAAAAGCTGCAATTATACATCTGAAAGGCTGCAGAAGTTATTGTGTCAAGATATTTGTTATTTTGTCGACAACACAAACACTTCTGGAGGAACAAGAGCTGAAGTCTGGTCGTTTATCTGACACTCGAATCCACAAAATAAACCAGATCCAGCAGAACGCCTTTACTGATAAGACAGGCAGAACAGCAGAGTTTAAAAAAACTGTTTATTGCTTTTTTTTACAACTTCTATGGCTTCTTGAGCTTTGCACAGGATGCTGCGTAAACTGCCCTCGGACAATGTTAGAGGCAGACATTGACAAAGACACTCCAACTTGATGTTTAAGGTGACTTGTCGGCTGGTTTCAAAGCTCTGAAGACCCCGTTGTTTACACAATAAAACTTAATAACTCATTTATCTCTGTGAGCTGATGCTGTCATTCCCTCTCAGATCCTGCTGATAATTCTGCTCTGAAACTAAACGGACGGCGTGGCACGCAAATGGAAAATTAAAACCGTCCACAGCTTCACTTAAAGCGAGTCAGACCTGCGTTCACCCTTGAAGCGGAGCGTAAATCACGCACCACGCTAACAATCAGACGTTCTCCTGCCAGTTAGTAGAGCATGCTTGTACGCCGGCGTTCCTCTGCCGGTGTTTACTCTGCTGGGTGATGCACTGAGTGTTTTCCCCGCTGCTGGCTCCCAGTGGTCTGCACGAGCTGCACTTACCCCCGCAGGCAGTGAGGGCTTGGTTGTCTTGGCAGTAATGGACTGCTGAAGGAAGACTTTCAACATCAGGTTAACGGGAATTATAGACCTAAAGCCCGACTTGGGCCTGCAGGGTTGAGGAAACGCCCTCAAAGAGAATGGGAAGAAAAGGACTGACCCCACAGATAAGGCTGAGCCCTGGAGAGGTGTGTGTTGGATGTTCTGTCATGAGACAAGTCAAAGCTCACGGGATGGCTGCCGGTGTAAAGAAAACCGTCTATGAAATACAAACACAAAGGGGTCTCGGAAGGCATCGCAAGGCAACCAATAAGGCTACATTAAAACGTCGGTAAACACTCTGAAATTAGACCTGATGTGTGTGTGTTCTGGAGAGAATAGCTTTTGTGAAGTTCAGTCTGCTTGTGTAGGAGCGGCAGCTTTTCAAAGTAAAACAACAAAACAAAAACTGTTTTCATAAGATTTCCACACTCTGAAATTGTTTTTGTTCTCCCAAGGAAAAAAAAAGTACACGTGAATCAAGTGGGTTAACATGTCACCGTTTTACAATTACCATCAGCGAAAAGATCCAACTCATCATCGCTGTGGATGAATCATGAATGAATCACTGTTGTTAAAGACGCAAAGATTACCGGTACGTCTCTCCTCAGAGAGAGAGAAAAAAAGGAAGTATAGATACATGTCAGTGACATCAATTTAATTATCTCTGTTTGTCAGAAGGTCTCCACAGACATACTCAAATAACAAAGAAACATATGGCTACATGGCTCAGTTGCCCCCATAAGCAGAGACGCTCATATAAAAACACAAAAGCCTGCATATGTCACTCTACTGATGTTTTTGTGTGTGTATGTGTGTGTCTGTGTGTATGCGGCGACTTGAATAATTCATGCCTCTCCAAAGCAGAGGGAATACATCACTACATATAGGGGCTGCCTCTAAGTTCTGCTTTTTATGAGCAGCTCTATTTCTAAAGCGTGTATATAAACAAAAGCCGGTGTGTCGACAGTGAATCAGCAGTCTCTGCGACTGCAAAGGGCCTCGGGTCGGGGCCGCTTTTTTGTCCTGCCAGTGCTTACATTAGCTCGAGAAAAGCTCAAGCTGCTCTAAATATTCCGCTTGAAGCCATCCATCTTGGTGCAGAACCGAATGGACGCGGTCCAGGAACTGGACCACTGGCAAGGATCAACTGTGCGAAGTTGTGGTGGATCCTGTTTCTTGACAATCTACACCCAAAAATACCTTGTTTCTTTAAAGCAGGTTTAGAGGAGTTCTTGATCGTTAATGAAAAGATTTAAGAATTTTGCAACATTCAAATGTAATTTTTTAAGGTCGAGCGTCTCACAAATAATAGTTTATCAAATGCTACATTGAACTGGCCTTTGTTGAAATATTACGGTACTAGTACAGTGAAGCCCCACAAAGTTACGTTTCTCAGTTTGTGGACTCGGTCTTTCGTGGAATTTTTCATGGAAGTAGTTTGCAGTAATGATCGTATTACCACAAAAACTAGAAATAGTACTTTAAATAAAAGTCTTTTTTCTTCTCATGCTTTTTCAAGCTAAATTATTAGAGAAAAACATAATTTATTAATTTTGCTATATAAACATCAACTTATTCTGTTTAATAAATTAAAAAAAAAAAATACAGCACAGTATGTGACATGCTTTGTGCCCATGCTCTGTCCGGAGCGCAGCATTTCCACCTTGTAACCGTACCGTGTGGTGTGTAGCTGCTAACTGCTTAGCTCTTGTGTTTTTGTTTGGTTCTTACAGCATTACGATCCAAATGTGCTGTAAGACTTTTCTGGACTGCATCCAGTATTGGTGTTTTGTCACGATACGCGGGTACGCTAAGAACGTAACCCCGCAAAAATTGGGGTTTAACTGTAATAGGCTAATTAGATCTACAATAAGCAACAAATTCTCATCCTGCACGTTAGGATAATTCGTTGAGAGGAAGCTGTAAGATGCCACATGTCAAAAAGGCACATGAGAATCAGTAATAAGGCTAAACGTTGTGTTGGGGTTCTGTAGACATAAAATGTGATATCAGAGACTGAAGCTGTGACTGCTGCTCGTGCGGCTCAGCCTAATCAAAGCCCAGCCAACTGTAGCACGACTAATCAAGGGCCTCGATAGACGGGCCTTTCATGACAGCCAGCAACGCAGCAGCCAGCTCTGCTCCATCACATCCTGCTCACTTCCACAGAGCCTCCTAAGTAGTTGTAACACTGGGGCAAGCCGACTTGCCCAGCTTTTCCAGACGGGGGACAAAGGCTCACTCTGTTGGGACAAAAGGCGACACACAGACCAATGGCGGGAAGGTGCCAAGGCATGAATCTTTAAACAGGTGCTTTTTGTTACAATTACAAAACTACACCCTTTTTCTGACAAATAATATATGAGAAGAACAATGGTAACATGATATCATCAAGCTATTCTTCCTAAATAGACAACTTTACACAGGTCCAAGTGTTTTAATGCGACATGTCCCTGAAAAAAAAAATTGCAATTTATAAAATCTGAAAACAGATTTGACATGCCTTCAAACTAAAATATGTTTTGCTTTATTTATTTTTTACAATATTGTTATATTCCATCTTACAAACAATAATTAGAAAATACTTGGTTTACACTTTTTTCCACTCTCTGTTCCTCTCTCTCTGGGCAGAGCATGGGCACAGGGTATTTGCTACATACTGTACTGTATTGGATTTTTCTTTTAATGGAACTGAATTTACGTTAATATTTATGTTATAAAATTAGTAAATCAAATTGTACCTAACAATTTAGCTTGAAGACGTAAGAAAAAAAAAATTCCCTTACTGTACTGTATTTCCAGGTTCCACAACATAACGGGTATTACCGTAAATTTCTAGTGGTTAAGTCCCATGATTGAATCTGCCAGAGACTGCGTTTCAAACTGTGAAATCCAACTTTGTGGGGCTTCACTGTACACAGACTTCTATATTTTTACTTTTATTTTGGGTGTCTTTTGTTCTTTACCTGGTTGTCAGGATGGTTCACAGTAAAGTAGCCCACGCAGATGATGACTTCGTGCAGCAGGTCATCAGATGAATGCTGGGTACAGTACCACAGCAGGGAGCTGACGATGTGCCGGAAAGCCAGAGAAAGGCCTTCGGCTCCTAGAACAGACTGAACACCAGACAAACCATGTCAACGTGAAGCCACGGTACTCTAAACATGAATTGTGTACAACTGCAAAGTTCTCAACAAGCTCACGATGTGAAGCAATAAAAAGGTTTTACGTTTTTTTTGCTAGTAGAAACATACACGGTTTAAGTGTATAAGCAAATCAAACAGGGTCCAACCATAAAACAACCCAACCCTCCTTACAAGTTGAGATACTAGGTGGAACTTGTGGACAGTATTTATTAAACATGCCAGTGTGACGAAGCGCCATAAGATCATCGTATTTTGCTCGGGAAGTTTGGGTATGTCATCATTTTAACATTTATAAACAACACCTGAGGAAATAAATGCTGGTTTTGGGCCTTAAAAATATTTCATTGTTTTATTGAATTTGTTTTATTTAAATGCTATTTAAACTGTTTTTATTATCATTTGATTTTAATAAATCATGGGAATGTCGTCCTTTTTGTCCCGAAAGCACCGTCTATAAAACCTATTAAATAATATCGCTTGGACTTTTATAAAATTCTCATCCAAACGGATTTTTGCGAGCAGCAGACGAGCAAGTTAAAGGTCTGAATTTTGATCTGCCAACTTATTATGAATGTGTATAAGCCGTTGCAGTGAAGTAATGTGAAACACAAGGTGATTACGACTCAAAGCCAGAAAAAAAAGGGCAACATAATTTAAAATGTTCATAAAATTCCGACAGAGAAACGCTTTCATTTCCAGCTGTTTTGAGTTGCCTGAACGTGGCGGGTCAGTGACAGGAAGCTGCTTCAAAGTAATTACCCCAAGGCATTAAAATAATTAACGGCATTCTGGCTCGCTTCTGTGGCTCTCAGTCTGTGCGGTGACTTAGCACAGTGAAGCTGTCGCCCCGTCCTCCACAGGGTGGATAATGTATTGCTCCGCATACAGTGATAATCACTTGTGTTCCATCCTAACGTCAGACCTACTGAGCTCTACTCAACCTCACAAAATGACCTAAGGTCAAAGGTCACCTGTGTTTATGTCCACAGGTCAGTTTAGTTCTTAAAAGAACAACTCCTTTTAAAATGCCTCTTTACAAAGTAACGAGCATTAATCTGATCACAAACATTGCTTTATTAAGAACAAAGAGCTTTTTATACATTTGCTGGAAACTTTAGGTAACCTCATGTTTAAAAAGGTTGCCACACACATGCCAAGTAAAATAAAAACTTAGYCAAAAAATCTGTTCAAACAAACGTCGCATTTATAGGAAGTGAAAACCATTTTTTTAAATTTATGAATTAAAAGCTATTTTTTTCTTTTACCTGGAAGGCAGATAGGTCAAGGAGAGCAAAACTGTTGAGGAAGCGGATGCCCTGCAGAGCCACCTGGATGACCTCGGGGCTGTAGGGCTCCTGACTCTGAGATGCGGACTCTGGTGAGAAACTGTGCAGCAGGATACAGTACAGAGTGTGCACCACTCCCACCAGGTCTGTGGACTGCAGGAGGGCCGTGAGTCCTGTTGGATCCTGACGTTTGTTGTCAAATATGCTGGGAGCACTAAAGGAGAAGAGAGAAGAAATGGACTGTATGTTTAAAAAAACAAACAAACAAAAAAAAACTGGGGAAGATCCTTTGCCATAACTAAATACGTGATTACATTTATCCAAAGAAAAATATTTTAAACATGTTGTTAAGATCAGAGATACCAGTCTTTGGTACTGGTAACCTAAAAAATTTGATTCATTTTTAGTACCAAACTAAAGTTTAAAGACGGCGTTCTTTTACGTGTAAAGCTAGCACTTCTTACTGCTCTAACGAGGACAAACACCAAGAGCAGTATAAAGGTTACTGCTCTTCCTTTAACGCTTCAGGATCGCAGATGAAGCTTCTTTTCTCCCCCCATCAATATCACATTTATTTAAATGCATCCATAATATCGACAAGTGAGAGAAAAAAAAAAAAAAAAAAAAAAAAAAATGATGAAGCAGCAAGTCTCACCAGAACGAGCTTCAGCCAACTTACAGGAATCGCTCCTGAAGATTTGCTGCTGTAGTGTCTCACTGGCAGATTTTTATGCTTTTCTACTAAAGCTCCGACTTCACAAACAATCCTAAGATAACGCTGTGAAGATTTGTGCTCTTACATGCCATCTCTCTGGAACATGTCGAGAACATTTTGGGATTGCTCTGTATGTGTGAAATGGACTACAATAGAGAACGAGGCTTTGAGCTCATACTGATGTGTTTGCAAACTTCTAGTCTAATTTATGAAGCTAATTTTAATGTCGACTAAACAACAGAAATTTGTCATCCTCTCTTACTCTAGTAAATAAAAAGATGCTATGACATAAAGCTCATTACGATAATTYCATTAACAGATTCTACTGAGCAATTTTGACAAGGTGCTATGAGCTAAAGCACACTGATTTTAATTCAGGGTGATCGGACTCAAAAATTAAATATTTATGGCAATAAGCTGTTATTTTCTTGGATATTCCTGAAGTATAAATGAGCACACTGGTACAGTTTATCACAAGTAAAACTACCTTAATTGCACTAATGTAATAATGCTTTCTCAGGCTCACTCCAGTGACACCCTCCCCCCACACACACACACCACACAGCCACTACAAGCAGACAATTTAAGACTACCGCAGCAGCTTCTTCTATGATTTGCAGCTCTGTACAACGCAGGGTGTGAGACCTTGACATGAAACTTACAGTGCATGCTGATACTTGATGTTAGCCAACAGGCTTTGTGCGAAATATGCTGCAAGGCAAGAACACAGCCTCTAAATGCTATTATAATCCCCTGACACAGCAACTGGCATGGTCCAAATATTCTTCTGGCCTACTAAGTGATTTTATAGGCTCAGAGAAATGAGAGAACGGGGTATAGAGGACGCTGCATYGACTGCAACCTCTTCAAAAGGAGGTTTTCTTACCAACTGTCCTTAACGAACACCGTTTAACGGATCATTGTTTATTCACTTTATAGCATGTAAAACAAAGCAGTAGCCTTAAAGTGCCTGTGACATGCTTATCCATGAAATACAAAAAGTCAAAGAACATATATTTATATTTAAGAAACTTGGCATAATACACATGATTTGAAAGGTTATGTCACATAATTGGCATTTTTTCTTTTAACCTTGGCTCAGCTAAAGTGAAACAGGAAGTGACATCAAAGGGGAACTCTTTGAGAAAGAAAACTCCTTGGTTTTTGTTTATTGAAACAATATTATTTGAAATATGACTCGTCTCTTTATGATAGTGATTAAAATAATATAAAGGAACAGATTATTTTCTACAGTCTGTTCTTACCATTTTAGCAACACTCTGTTTACATTCAGACATTCCCCTTTGAATCACTTCCTGTTACTTCACCTGCAAATATCTCAACAACTGCTCATCTCAGCAGTGTGAAATCTTCTTTAAAATATGCTATCAGTGTTATTTTTCCAAAAATGCGTTCATATTTATTACAAAAAATTGATGTCACAGGCACTTCAAAAAGTAAACAGATTCGATGTTATTAAAATACCTAACCGATCATTTCAATTTGTTTTTAAACTGTGTGGCATTAAAAAAATCCTAGCTCTGATGCTAAACTACTATTCCTTTGAAGTCGAGACTTGTGCTGATGTCCCTTGGTGTGACTGTGTGCTTTGCCTCTGTCAGCGGCGCCACTGAACCTCTGTGTATGGAGGTCACTGTGGCACATGTGGGTGGGCTCCGCCCCCCTTCATGCTGCAGGCTAAGGTTTATGGTGAGTGACAGAGCACTGGGTCAAGTAGATGCCTATCTCTAGCTGTAGTAACGACGGGCTTTAGCCAGACTGGAGTAAATGAGCGGCTGGCTGATTGCGGTGGAGCCACACTCTTTGTTTGAGTAACCGTGAGCTTGTCTTTATGGATCCTACTGACAGTAAAGTGACAATGGTTACTCGGTGTCTATCATTACTAGAACAGAGACATGAGCTCGTGTGTGTGTGTGTGTTTGTTCGAGGAAGATCAAGAGATCACAGAGATGTTTAAGGTGCGTAATAAGAGGCAAACTCACCGTCCAGTTATGACAAAGCACAGTTTGCACATGCTGTGCAGCAGAGCTGAGGCTTGCTGAAGAAACGCAGACATCTTAGGGTGCTCGTCGACAGGGCCTTGGACTGACAAGAAGCACCCATACAGCTTGTCAATCAAACCCATGTTCACCACATAGCTAGAATAAACAGATAAGAGGGAAAAAAAAACATAACACGGTTTAATACATGGCCTCTTAAAACACACTTTCTTTGTAAAAAGGTCCTTTCACCCAAGCAAACAAAGGCCTGTACTGTGCGTTCTCCCACAGTAAGTGTAAGCCAATCTCTCACCTAAGCCCTCCACCTTCTGCTATTACTGTGATATCTTCAATTTGTCTCTGCCAATGACAGGACTCATGATCATGTTCCCTGTACTCTTTCAGCCACAAATCACCCCTAATAGTGTCATTAGAAGGCTGTTGTGGCCCCTGTGCCAGCCCAGCTGCGGGCCCTTGACAGTCTGCTGACCTGGGGCTAGTCTTTTAGAAACTTSTGGTATGCAGGGACCTTCAAGCGGCGACAGCTTATGAAAATCTCGACAGCCCTGCAGATGCCAATCAAGGCTTCAGAATCGCTGTTGTGGTTGCCCTGTCAGTGTCCCTCGTCTTGTTGCTGCTTCGACTTGTCACTTGTTCTGCGTCTCCTTTTGTCTTAGWGCTGTCACTCACTGAAATCCTCTCAAAACAGGTGATTATGAATGTTAACRGCCAGCACCACAGGTCACCTGGCATCGCTGAACCAAATTCCGCAGCTTAGAGTTGAACCACTTCTGTCGCTTTACGCAAGTTAAAAAAAAAAAAAGAGATAATTCCACAAACTCTTCGCTTTGTCTGGTGGCCGATCCCAGTTGAAAAATTTCACAATGATAAAACTTGTCACTAGTGTTTCAAAGTAAAAAGAGAAATCACAGTGAGTAGGAAGGAAATGTATAACTTGGCATTTTAGAGGAGGTTCACAAAAGCTAAACATGTTTTTATCCTTTGTTCTTCCTCACATATACATTCAAAGACAGTTGATGTAAATCTTGAGTTGAGATTATCAGACTGACGACATTATTTTCTCAGACTCCCCACCCCATCCGCCCCCTTATTTTCGGGTTACAACTGGGTCAGTGGATGAGATTGGTGGGCCTGTGCAGCTGCTCTGTCCAAATGAATCATGGTTTTGTGGGAGGGACGGTGGAAAGACTGCACTGGGCCCACAAGGTTTCAGCGCTGCTGGGCCTGCCTTTCCTCATGGTCCACATTTCTCCTTCACAGCCACGACTCCTACAGTCCAGACCAACAGAGCCGGTCTAAATGCCAGGTTCAAGGGGATCTTTCAAAGCTTTGGAAGTGCTCTTTGTTTATGTGACTTTGTAAGCCCCCCTCACAGAAACCGATATTACTTAAAATGTGTTTCTGGATGTGCAGAAAACCAACATGCTGGACGGGCGCCAGAGCACACCTCATTCTCACACTACTCCCATTTTAACAAGACACCGCTTGGACCGTTTCCAGGTGATCTGACATTTTGTTAGCCTATTCCTTACATGTGGCATGCTCTTGAGGAAATCGGATGTTGACTTATTCGCAACTCAGTAGAGAGGAGCAGAGGAGAAAKGTACTTAAAGAGGTAAAAAGGTTGTGAGGTGAGAAAAGGGAGGTGCCATGTAGGAGGATGTGAAACACAGAGGTACACACGCACAACTTGAAAAAAAAGGAAAATACCTGATTAGATCTTGTGCACGAGTGGTAAAGGACTCCGCTGCAGAGCTTTTGACCTTGGCATCGGAGGAGGGGATCCATGGGTTTTCAGTCTGCCCCGGCTCAGACCTGTGCAGCGGAGTGTCCAAGATGGTAGCGATGGTCTGAAGCAGGCCTGTCGTCAAACCGTCAAAAACTTGTTTGTTTACGCTGCGACCAAAAATGGACTTGTCTTCATCTGGGACATACAGCTGAAAAATACGAAGAAGATTTCTGAATTGAAAACCATGTCTGAGCTGCATTGGCAGGTTTACTGTACTTTGATTATAACCTGATGCTAAGAGGCTTCAGTAGAGATATTACATAAGTAAAAATAACAAAACTTAAAGAAAAGTAACCTGTCTTGTGTTTGTGGCTTTAAACACTTCTTTAAGTACAAGCTTGAAAAATGTATTAATTAGGATAAACTCTAATTTTAAACAACCTGTGCGTTTGTAAAAAAAATGCTTTTATATTGTTCTTAAACAAGTTTATTATTTACCATATTAAATGAGACATATGCTTCTAAATTTTTCTTTTCACATTTCAATCATTTAATTGGGGTCTACATAAATGGAACTGCAATGCTTTGATCTGAATTCCTCMGTATTGTAACTCCACAAGCCCCTCTTTCACCCCTTTTCAGAGGTGTGTCTCAGATCAACTSATTTTGAGGCTGTCTTTTTAAATYCAAATGAGGCACTTCACAACCCGCCTCACAACCTTATCTGGCAGTTCTGTCACAAATAATTTGATGTAATAATTCGGAAAAYATCAGAACATAAAGAAAACTGAAAAGGTAGAAATTAAACATGACCMAAACAGGATATAAAGATATCTTTGCAGCACAGAGAGAGACTAAATTAACCTTTTCTGCACTCCTGGAGACTCCAAATACACAACAAAATGCATTTAATGGCTGAAAAAGTGGATTTTGYACRTCTCTTTTAAAGGCATTAGTAGTTAACACTATAATAACTAAAGGTAAAGTGGCTGTTTAAGTCTTGTTCTTAGGCGCACAAAGATGATACAAACAAATCAAGATTTAATAGAAAACATTGCTGCCTAAAATGTGGGAGACCAATTAGTTTTTCAGAGAGATCAAACACAAATGTAGGTCTAAGTTTGAAATGCGGAGCCTCTGCTTTGTGTGAAAGTTTGCAAAGATAAAACATTCCCCGTTTGGTCCAACAGTCGGGGTGACTGCTGACAGCATAGGTAAATCCACCGACATTCTCCACAAATCTAATTAAATGAGGGGCATGCTCATATGGCAGTGCAACCCCCACGRCTGCACTCTATTGCTCACACATGCCAAAACGCAGACGTGCTCACAGATACTTTGTGTGCGTCTAAAAGTGCAAGAGCAGAGAGCCTTCATTAAAGATGAAGTTTGTCGACTTCATCACAACGCGCAGTAAATGAGCATGAGAAACTGAACACGAGAAGAGTTGGTTCATCTCCTGCGTTGCTGTTGGAGATGTCCGTCAGCAGAGCAGCTGCTGGGATATGTTTTATATAAACTGGAGTGTACAGGCGAACCTCTCCCTCTGTGCCCTAAGGAAACATGACTGCTTTGGATTGGAACTCAACTGAAGAAGGAAGCCCCAGTGGAGTTCATGCATGCACCACAGCCCTGTGGCCTGCGCCTTGTCCTGTCTGCGTTGTGAGTGTAGGCGGCCCCAGCGAGCCGCCACTGTTGGATGTTTGGAGTGAGCTGGTGTTTACAGTCATCCTAACAGAGCGCTGAAGGATATGGGCTGACATGTCGCCGCAATGCAGCCCGCTAGCCTGCCTGTGCTCTCACATTCCCGCTGTCAGGAAGCTGGGAAACCATTTAGGACTTGATAGTCTCCATCTTTAAATAATATAAAAAAATCACCAATACCAGAAAAATGTAACAAGTTTTTTAGTGACTTTATCATTTAAAAAAGGTTTTTGATTTTTAAAGTAGAACTTCTTACAATTTGTGAATATTATATTCTGATACAGAGCTTTATTTCAATTTCAATAAAGAGAGGCAAAATAAAAAGCTGTTCTGTCATTTGACAAATCAAAATTTATGTCTTTTTGGAAACTGTGTTGTCTTCAAAACCCTAAAGCAAATGAACCTGATAATATTGCTGTTCAACAGTGCATATTAAAAAAAAAATCATCATTAAAGCTGCCATCAAAACCAGTTTTTTTTACTTCAACTACATTCTGTTTACAAGTTAGACACAGAAAGAGGGTACTGTAGATCCAGTTCATTAAAATTTTATTAAATAAACCAATATACAGTTAATTTTAACGTGTTGTATAATTACCATTTTAAATTCAAATTTAATTAGCTTAAATAATTGTTAAGTTGCATTTTATACAAACTTGTTCTTGACTTACTGTTAGCTGATGGAGTAGCAGGTCCACGAGGAAGACTATCTTGTTGCTAAACAGCACATAACAGCAGTTGAAGTTGCAGCAGGAACATGCCAGATAGTAGACATTTACAGCAGCACAAAGAGATCTAACAAGACAGACAAAAAGACAGTTATTAATCACAAATTTAAAATAAAAATCCCCCTTGCAATTATTTAAAGCAGCACTATTAGGGTGTAAATGTGACCTGGGCACTGACATGACTCTCTGCAGGCACGAGGAACCCAAACACACTCTCCTCTATTTGTGGTTTCTTAAGGGTGCAGTTTGTCTTCACTCGTCAAAAGTATATCTCACTGACAGCGCAAGAATGGAAGTCCGTTTGAGTAATAAAACACTCATATCAGCTACTTAATGTGGAGACTCCCCTCTGCAGACACCTTTAGAGGTGCCGAGTGCAATCCACAGTCTTGGCAGAGCTGGTGCGGCATTTCCGCTGGAGATAAAACAATTCCTCCTAACAGCAGCCAGCGTACCCCTGTGTTTTGTCTGCTCTGCAACAAGCTGCAGAGAAGATTAATGCTTCAGATAACTGACCAATCATTCTGCTGTGACTGCTACTCCCACTCGCCCCGTTTCATCAGTTAATATTTTCTGACAACTGTATATTTTAGCCATTAGAGGAATAGCATGTCCTATCTGCTGGCTGGAAGGATGGAATCCCCCCCTCTCCAGAGCCTAAAGTAGGCTGTGTTTACTTCAACTGGTAAACATTTTGATATCTACCGAACCTCCACATCTGCTGCGCGTTTTCAGTCAAACCACTCCGGCGTGGCGGAGGCAAAACTCCGCGAGGTGAGTATTTACCAAAGTCTGCCAAAAAGCTGTGGCTATAGTCTTTGGACCTCCAAGCAGACAGATCACTCATTTCAGCGTATCAATATTGACACAGTAGGATAAAAAAAACCTGTGAAACGTGGAATGTGGTGTTAATGTGAGAATCACAACATTTCAAGCGTTTGGCCGAGTATCAAATTGCTGTGAAAGCTTAACACCTAAAAACAATAAAATAAGCAGAAAAAAAAACCCCGGGAAAAAAAAAAATCACATAATCAAATCTTTTTCCAAAATGTTTACTTCTGTGTGACACATAATGACAGCTCCTTATCAAATAATAAAAGATATTGTGAAAGAACTCAAAGAATGGTTGAATGTACTGACAGGCCAGACTGTGTGGAACAAGAGGGGAATGTAACACGAGAACCCAAGCAGACGATCCTTTGTGTGCAGCTTCGCAGCATCAGATTCTCAGACTCTGATTGTTGAGTGAACGCAAGACGGAGATAAGCTTCTACGCAAATACCAAAACGACAACTCAAAAACTTTTTTTTTTGGTATAATTATATGCTTCACGCAGCTTATGAGAACAGTCAAAAAAGCCATGTGCATTCCACTAAAGGACAGGAGTTACTTCAGGGGGTCTCAAGTCACTATTGTGGCATTTGAGATTATGCACTTGTTAAGTAAAGAAGAGCACAATAGCAGGGTTATCTTCTATCTATCACAGATTAAATGGCAAGGCAGGACAGACTTAATTAGGGCCAAAGAAATGTTTTCAAACGGCGAGATAAAGTTCGTGTCGGTCAATAGCATTCAGGTTACACTGAGACTCAAACTCCATTTGCCAAATGTTGTCCTCAGGTGTGTGAGATAGAGTGTGAAGGTTCTTTCAAGGACAAAGAAGAGATAAAAAAATATAAACTGATCTCTGATCTCAACTAAACAAAGAGTGTAATTATTTGGAGAGAATGTCAATTTTTAGGCTTATGGAAGCACGTGTATAATATATAAAAAATGTAAAAAAGAAATGTTAAGTGTACATCTAGAAAGTTTCAAGACATTATGTACTTCAAGTTATCAAAACAAAATCTGTCACATTTTGTCCTGCTTAATGCTTTTCWAGAGGACATTAAAACATAATTTAAAAATATATACAAAGTTGCATTCTAGGTGCAAATCTACACCATAAAAACAGGTTTGTCTTTTTGCGCATCTTGGATTAAATAATTTGTTTTTGTTCTAACACAAATACAGTCACACAATGGCAAAAAATAAAACACACAACACAACTTAACTATTTTTCCCTTTTTGTCTTTGGATACCAGCAGCTCCTCATTCAGCAGCTTTGACAGTTTCATTTGTGCMTTAAGGAAACTCTTGGAGGTTTATCTTTCTACAACAGACATCTATTTTAAACTAAGTTTGTAAATGAGTAGCGGAATAGTGAAATCAGTTTTGTCAGGGTTCCTCTTTTCACATAAAATTTAGAGAATATTTATAGCTGGGGCTGGTTTTGGTTGCTGTGCGTTTTTAGTTCAGACCTATCTCCAGGCTGATTGCCTCCTTTTGATCAACTAGAACTGATGAGGTGGGGTATTTTGGGTTCTCAAAAGTATTTTGTACAAATTTCCATAGAATTACAACAAATTAAAAATATAAGAGGCATATAATGCTTACAAATCCTTTTTCACATTTAAATCCCTCAGTTGGGGTCAACCGTATATAATATAGAACTGCAATGCTTTGGTCTCAATTCCTCCTTGTGTTGAATTTACAAGACCCTCTTTCATTCCTTTTCTGAGGTGTGTCTCAGATCAACTCACTAGAGTGATTTACGACTAATAGAAGTGCAGAAACTTTATTTACAAATTTATTAAAAGATGTCAACAAGGGAGGACTTGTCCATCCAGCCTTACATGTTTGAGCCAGAGGAGAATGAGGACGACCAAACTGTAGTTGCCAGACCTGATGTGGCAGTTCTGTCGAAAATAATTTGATGTAACAGTTCAGAAAATTTCATAGAGAATATAGAAAACAGAAAGGATTGAATAATATTGTATGATCCAAACAGATTATAAAAGATATCTGCACTGGGCAAAATTAAAACCAAATTTTCTGTGCTCCTACATAACAAAATTCATTTACCAGCTAAAAAAGTGGACTTTGCATGATAAGTCCAGTTTAATTAGGCTTTTTTGGTGACAGTACCCTTTTCAGTACTTTACCATGCTTAAAAACATTTCATATGATGGCCTTGTTTTCCCTCTCTGACTTGACTAACACGTCCAAATTAAATCACTTCCAAGTCTGGAAAGACAGATTGGGCCCTCAGCTCCGCGTAACGAGCGTGCAATTGCTTTGTAACACGGCTAATCAGGCCCGGTCTCTGGTCATCTCTGAACAAATGAGGAGGCCGTCAGAGGCATGTCTGAGTTATGCTCCTACACCAACTCGTACAATGAACCATCGCAGCAATGCGTCTTTGGTTTCCCCCCCACTTAATTGAGCTTGATGAGCGCGACACCTGATATTACAGCCTCTCTGGGAATCTCACAATCTGAAGCCCCCTCCCCCCTCCTTAGCCCAATGACAGCTCTTTTAAGGAACAATTTGGTAAAGTGCCACCCCAGCCTCTCTCATGTTGCTTAAAAAAAAAAGGAAGCCCTCTTTGCGATGTGCCCATCCATTTTAGTCACATTTCTCCACTACTCTTAGTTCCAAATAACCGCTTTCAAAAATTTTAATAAATCAAAATTTYCCCCCCTCGACTGAACAACAGCATGATTATAATCTGAACCAATCTGCTTTGAAACAAAAACGTGTTCTGGAAATTTTACCAGAGGGGATTTCATGCTGATAAACCAGATTGAGGGAAAGTCAGACACACATAATTAAGCAATGTAATCTGCTCTCCCAACACCAACTGGTTAACCTCTTACATCCATTTTACCTGTAAATCTCCTCGGGTCTGTGAAGAAATGAGGCCAAGAGGTAAAAGAATGGCGCACACCTGATCCTGTCCAAACCCTCCGCAGCCCTCCGGGGCTCTGACCCGGTAGCCCACAGGTCCACACATGATAAGGTGGCGGTTTAGTGGAGGATTAGGAGCACAAATGACCTCAGAACTTAAGATCCTAATGCTCAAAACAACAATCAAAAAACTGTCCCCTCGAATAAATTTTGTTTATTCAAATACCTCCCAAATCTGCCACATTATGACAACTGGTAGCTTCTCTGGAATAAGTCAAAAGTACAAACTGTAAACACAGTTTCTCCAGTACTGGTGTGAGTAATTTCAAACTGTCAGTTAGTCTATTTATTAAAGTAAATCACCAAAATCTATGCTAAACTGACAAAAAGCGCGTAAAAGGCTCTTTATGCTTTTTGTCACTACTTCGAGTTATCAACCCTGAGATCTGCTCTCCTCAACCTGAGTTTCACATTCCTCACCCTTTTCTGTGCCTTTCCTATGTGTGCAGTCGAGCCTGACGGGAGCCGTGCTGCAGAAATCTGACTAAGGTCCAGATCAGGTTGAGCCCCCACCTCTTAAACAGGGGAAGAAAAAGAATCCTAAGCCAAAATAAAAGGTGAGGAGCAAATCCATTTCCTTGTGCTGTCAAACAATCCCTTCATTCACTGCTATCTAAATGACATTTAATTTGATTCTGCTGTTGATCTCTCCGATACCCAGAGTGCTTCCAAGACATCTACTCTGGCTGCTGTGCCACACTGGCCAGGTATGAAGGAGGAGAAATCTGATGAGCCGTCACACAGCCCCTTTCACAGAAGTGTGCAACAGACAAACGCAYACTAACACACACTCTTTACGAATGGTGGAAAACATCCTGAAATAAAACCACAGGTAGCAGGTCTGATTTCACAGGATACACCAGGTCATGTGAGACGGTGATGGAAATACAAATTGGGTTAACACGCGTGTTCCTCTGGAGCTCTCGTCATCATCGCAGTTCGGTCCTCAACTACAAGATTTCCATCCTTTATTTTCAGATGAAAGTCTCACTGACTCAGACTCGAAAAGTGTTTTTTAAACCCAGTTATAGAGTAGATGAAGCTTTTTCCTGTGACACTCATTGATATTGTATAGTTGTAAAACTACATTGATTTCTGATTATTTGTCAGTTTTATTCCAAACAAATGTTCTGCAGACATTAAATGTTCGACTATTGAAAAGACAAAGAAACAAAAAACCCCAAGTTGGCTTTTTATTTTTCTGTGCACAGATTAAACAATTTTAACTGAGTAACAAAACTGCTCCAACATTATTTGGATTCAAAGCTTTGAAGCATTTTCTAGTACGTACCTATACTGCGAGAGAAAAAAAGCACGACTACGACAAAACTGGTGGTGGAGTTTGACCATCATGAGCTATTCAATGATTGATGTCGATTTTTAGACTTCAGGGTATCTAGGGACCAATAAAGCCTTTTTTTATGGAGGTAGGATATTTTTGAACAAACAAGCAAACAAACAAGCAAATAAGCAAAGACACAACATGGTCAATGGATGGATTCAAAAGTTAACCTACATAGATAAATTAAGACAAATAGCTAAATAATTGGCTGTCAAATTAGAAGCATAAGTTTAAATAAATTCAATTTTAAGTAGAATTTTCTTAGCACAAGGCCTGATGATCATCTGGTTGTTAAAGCAATCTCCTGTCAAAACATGGATTTTTTTAAGAAATAAGAAACCAAACAAACAAAACAAAAAAATCTTTACCATCTTTAAAACAGGAAGGTTTTACCTTTTTCTTAGGCTTTAACAATTAACAAAAATATAAAAATGTAAATAAAATATAAGCAAGTTTTGATTAAAATAATCTGATAAAATAATTCACATGTCAGTTTGTTGTTAGAACTTAAAATATTTTTATTTCCTCCTAATATTTTATAGAGCAAATACTCAATTTAGAAAAGACCTACAGTCATTTTTTAAACCTATTTACAAAGTGAATTAAAGCTAAAAGTCTGAGCTGCAGCTGAAAGTTTTGTTCAAAATTCATTGTGGTAATGTACAGAACCAAAGGAAAATGTCTCTGTCTAAACAGATTTGCCTCACTAAACTCAGAAAAGTCCAGTCCACTAACAACATCACATGGTTTGGATCAGGGGATGGGCAACTGGCGGTGGCCTGCAACTTCCTAAACACCGACTTTTTACAAGAACCAAAACAAACTCTGCACTCAAGATGTATTTTGTCGTTGCATTTCAGCTTGCTTCCCAAATGTAATAAAACTACTGCTTTAAAAACAAAACAAACATTTTTAAAAATAGAAATTTTATTACATTTGGACAAGTGTGGCCTTCTAGTAGTGTCAATGAAAAATTACAGCTCTTTCCATCATTTAAGTTGCCCATCGCTGGTTTAGATGATCATAAATATGATTTACTAGATAAAATATTTAACAAAAAGCATTTAAGGCTAATTAATGAAACTCCTGGACTGTTAATTAGTAAAGCTGCTCTAGATCAAGTTTATGACACTCCTTTGTTTTTTTTTAACCAAATGTCATCCCACCAGTTCAGGTTAATGATGGCAGCTGCATAAAGTCTGATCTACACACTCCAGTGACCGTAGGGTTACACCAGAACATTAGCAGAGGCTTGTAGAGGAATTAGCTCATTAATGTAATGGTAACAAGATGGAATCAGATTCCCTGGGGAGAGATATGGCACAAGGTTCTCGGCAGCTGCCTTTTTTTGTAAATCACTCCGCTTATCTGGTGGGAGGAGGTGATCAATACGGCAGCATCTCTGTAAACAGATAATGTAGCACACTCTGGGGTTAGCGTTTGTATGGCAACCAATTAAGCCACGCAGAAATACAGATGACAGATCGAGATAAGCAGACAGCTGGGCTGCATCCTTGTGTTGCATCTCATCACGAGCTGAACGACTCGATTAGCACAGGAGTGAAGTCTGACCCATCCTGCTTATTACACAGTASGATCACATGACATTTAGTTTAAAAGATGCGTCTAACAAAAGGATACATGAAATTTAATGATCAGCGTATAAACCACACAACAAGCATGTGTTCTTTTTATGTGATAATAAATGTACATGAGCCRAACTAAGGTGCAAAAAACAAGCGCCATCATTAACACTGAACAGAGTAAAGCCAATAAAATGTATGAACTCATCAATACAAAAAAAATGACTTCAGATTTTAAATTGCTTAAAACAAGCGGGAAAAAAGAACAGGTTTGCCTAAAATTTCTGCAGCAAACCAAACAAAAAAAAAAAACTATCCTGTATTGGGCATGTTGAAGTGAAACCATCATGCACAAAAAAAGTGCACATATTTTATGTTTGAAGTCTCTCCATTTACAACTAGATTTCTTCTAAAACAAAAGGGTGCTTGAAATTCCTACATATTGTAATGACTGAGTGATTGAGACTCCAAAAAAAAAGGAAAAAAATCAATACACATGCAATGTCCTTTAAAAGCCTTATAAATATAAGAAGCATTTGTCCATTAGCAGGGACTCAGAGACCAGTAAATGCTAATGAATGGGAGCACAAGGCCATTCGAGTCCATTACAGAATCCCACTTCTGACTCTAGAAACTCCTTTGAGGTTATCTAATGGCAGGCGATGCCCCAAGTCAAAAATATTATGTGCTTTATATAATAAATGGGACACGTGTACGTTTTGAATTCGAGGGAAAAGAACAAACAAATTGATTGTAGAAATGTAACGACCTAGCTTCCTTTGTAGGGCAGCACCGTTATAGGTTAATACATTTTCAGAGTATTTATTAAGATGAAGCAACTACAGTCATAAAGTAGTTTAGTGGTTATGAACTCAAATGAACTCGCTGACTTTATGCATCTGCAAAAACAATCGCAAGAAAGAAAGTAAGCAGAGCTGTCAATACATTTGGTAAAAGAATACAGTAAGAAAATAACCTGGGTGGAGGAGTCATAGGAGAGAATGAATAAACTGTACGAATCATTAAAAAATGTAAACACTTATTAGATGACGCTCTTATTGTATAACTCCTTGTTTATCTTTTTGCCAGTGTTTATTGGGTAACCTTACTCATAAAGCACTTGAGATGTCCGTTTCATAGCCATTCATTTTTATATATAGTGCTAAAAAGCTTTAGCCTCTTTAAAATTACCACACACAGAGGCTATTCAATTCACAGGCTTTACCCACAACTTATTAACGTTTCAATGACATAAATAGTAACATAAACAAAAAGGTGCAGCTCACCCTGCTCATTGGAACCAGAGGTTTGATCAAATCACTCCCAAAAATTGGGTCATTTCATTAACAACACAAACATTGACATGGTTTGAGTTTATACTGTTGGAAAAAAAAAGAAAGGCAACATTTCAGTTTGGTGATGGTACTCACTTGAGAGGAATACGGGGGACTGCGGTGGGCGTGGAAGCAGCAGTGATGACCTGCAGAATTTGCTCCAAAGCAGACAGGCCGCCRCCCACTTGGAAGGCCACTTGGTTCGCATTGTTCTGTTGAGCCAAGGACACAGAAAACAGAGTTACAGTCAGAGGACACCGAGGACCCGGCAGACAGGGGATTACATGGCTCTCAACAGAGAGGGAACCTTTTTCCTCTCCTGGAGAGCTGAGGGAATAAAATCTCAAACAAAGTGGTCCCTCAAGTATTCCTGTTTAATTTCAAAAGTGCACAGAACGACTCCGCCTCGCAGCAGTCAAGTTTCACTTAAAGGCAACTGGTCTGCAGGCTCTAGTTTAGCACCAGGGTGGTCTAACTGGACTAAAAGAAAACTGAGAAAAGGGCCATCCGGCATTGTTATGAATGTATCAGGAGCTAGAAAAAAAAGCACATACATGCAGTACAAAACCTATTGTGTTTACTGCAACATGTAATTCTCACAAGAGACACTTTTGTGATACAATCTTGAAACTTCCACAGTTTCTCAAACTTGTAGAACAAGCTTACTTTACAGTTTATTTTAGATTTAAAACAATTTGAAAAAAAGATCATAAAAAGTGTTTGATTGCTGATTCATACCATCTGTGTTGTATTATTATTTTAAAAAGATTATAATGAATACAAAGAGATGAAAAATAATGGTAATATATAGGGATGTACCAATTACATGATTTTGGTCAATTTTTAGCTTGACGCTAAACCCTCCCATCCATCAACGTACAACAGCTGAGTAACTTATTTGTATGAACAATAACAAATCTTTAGTGCAGAAGTTTTCACTGTGTTTAAAAAAGGACTAAAAGCTACCCATTTTTAATAACTCCAAGGTGTTTGAAACAAAGCAACCCAAAGAGAAAGTTCTGTAACCTTGAGCTGTTCTCAACGAAATACAAAAGTTTTGTTTCTGTAAACATTTTAAAAAGCAAAATGTTCAATTTTAAATTTAATGTTTAAATTGTAAAATTTAGGGAGGGAAAAAAACTTAATATGGATGCAAGATATATCGGTATTGATATCGGTATTGGCAGATATTGGCAATTTCTTAGAATATCGTATCGGTCCGATATATAAAACTGGGCTGATGTCAACGTCCGATATTGATTTCTCACTTTTTTATCTTTGTGTTTCTGTTTTGGGAGGGGAGATGGTTAGTTGAGCAGCATCTGTTTGATCATAATAGTGATACTGACGCTGCGTAACCAGGAATAACTGAAGTAGGGAGCCATGTCAGAGGTCTGGTTGTTTATTTATGGTATCAAAAAAAGACCCAAGTGTGTTTGTGTGTATATGTATAATGTAATTTGTGCGTTTGTGTAATTACGGTAAATATCGGTTATCGGCCATAGCAGCAATAATTAAATTGGATATCGATATCGGCTGTAATTTTCATATCGGTGCATCCCTACTTGATAAACAGTCTTCTGACAGAAATGGTAATTGTCCACATAGGAACAGGAAAATCCCAGTGTTCTAAAAAATAAAAATCAAAACTAGGCTAAGAATTTGTTTTTTGTGCATCTCTAATAATATGACTGAATTCACATGCTGCAGGCAGAAGAATAAAGGTTCTTACAAAAACGTACAAACAATTGTAAAATTGTTCGGTTTCAGAAACGATCTTTCAAATGACCCTTCATCTTTAGTAACATAAGCCGAATCCGCATGTTTTATGCAAAACTATCTACATTTTGTTTAAACCAATTTCCTATTGACTTGTATTTATCAAATATTACACTCAAATTTATGTCCATCAGGAATACGGTGTTTTGCTGATGTTTGTTGCTTCTCCTTTTCTTGCTTTTTTAAAAAACTTAAACCAAACAAAAGAAAAACCGCCAGAGCATTATATTTGTGAACACATGTGAACACAGATTAGTCCTAGCAGTCAGTGATGACAGAATAATTGGCAGCAGGTTGGCACTGTTGCTACTAAGTCTTGTTCATCAACAAGTATAAAGCCACAAGTGAGTTCTGGCTACCGGCGTGTTTGTGCCAAGGCTGACAAGGACGACAGGAACTGGCAGGGAGCCGCTGATGGAGGGCCACCCTCGCACTACCAAGGGCCGTGTTACACGGCAGGTCACCCCCCAACCTTATGAGGTTACAGTCTCTTCAGCTCTGTGACAGCACGAAAATCCATGCACTTCACAGTGCTTTTGTTCCACAGATGGGAAGCTGCTAACAAGCCTGAACGCATTGGAAGAGAAGTGCTTTCCCAAATTACAGGTAAGCTCTTCATCTGTCATTCATGCTGGCTGCTGAGGGAACTGCTTTTCTATGGCGGAGTTAGATTCTCAATGATAGCTTAGTGTACGCTGTGTACCTGACAAAATAATGTTCAACATGCTAGAGACGTCTTAACCTAAAGAGAACTGTTTCAAAGACTGTCTTAATAGTCAAAGCAATGTTTGTAGAAGACCATGTTGTAGCTTCCTTTTTATACATTACAAGTAGTTTCCATGTCGAATCATTTAGGTCTCAATCACTGAGCTTGACTTAACCCCTCTTCTAACCCCAACATCAACACACCCAGCTGAAAGATTCCAGGCTAATAATTGAAAACGTAGCTCTTTCATAGYAGCTTACCAAACAGTATTAAAGGACGTAACTAGAACCTGCCCAGGCTGTTTTCTGTGAAAAAACTGTTTTGTTTTTTTGCATGTTCACTCCTATTTTTTCTCTGATGACAGATTTATCTGTTGCAATGACCGAACAACCAGGAAGAAGAGATTAGTTTCTAACTGTGACTAACTTTAGTTAGTCTTCGTGCACACATGTCTGCAGAAAAAGAAATTAGACCAGAGTATGACCACAAAGAACCACTTAAATAAAGCACCATGTTAAAAATAAAGGTTTGTTTGGACTATAATGTTAATGTAGTGAAGCTGAATGATGTCATTGCATTTTATAAACCAAATATAGGGAAACTATCACACTTTCTGTAATAACAGAAAAGCATGTACACGTATACGCAGAATTTTTTTTTGTTTGTTTCTTTCAGATTAACCTCAAAACGCAGATGTATTTCTGTCCTAAAACCTCTAACTTTGCTCCAGTTTATTTTAAAGACATAGATTTTTGCACTGGTAATGTCCACATAGATTTGTGGTTTTCATGGCTTTTTAGCCTTTTTCGTTTTATTTATTAAAAGGGTTATCTACCGTCTAATGCAAAAAGACTTCAGGCATGAGAAAAATAATAATAATAATAATGATATTAAAAAAATTCTTCCAGTTCCACCCTCACTATCTCTTGAACAATAGCAGCTGCTTTGATCCCTAAAGTTCTGATGAAATCTTCAAAAAGTGTTACCTTTATTTTGATTCCAAGTCTATTAGGTAAAGTTTATAAATGTCGAGACAAACTCAGTTACATTTGGGCGCATTATTTTGAGCACAAACTTTAAGGAAACACCTTCGGGCTGTAGAGGTTTAAACACAAATTCTCAGATTAATATTTGYAGCTTTTTTTAGTCTGAATTAATACTTTTGATGTATTGGAAAAACCAAGGAAAAATAAATAGTCGTTCGGATGTTTTCTACAAAGCAATAAAAGTTTTGCCCAAATTTATCATAAATCTGAGAGGTTTCTCATATGTTACTAGCCTATTTTATGAAAAGTGACAATAAGCAAGTATCTTAGGTTCGGAGTTGTTMCAAAACATTGTTTTCAAAATAATTATTGAGTGCTGAAGTAAATAASCCATTCTTTTATTACATACTGTTTACATTACTGTATATTTCTGTCTCAAAAAAATACACTAAAATCACATTTAAGTTCTAACTCAAGCTTAAATGACATCATTACAAAATATTACTAGGTGAGAAATAAATTTTCCCTCAGAAAAGACTATAATAAATAAAAAAGAAGATTTACAAATGGCTGAGCATTGAGACATGAGTAGGAATTGGCTCCTGAATTATACAAAAGGGTCAGCCCCATCTAATTATTGCTCAGAGTGACTATTGTTACACCAGATGATGGGAAGGCCCAGACAGGTGGTGATTCCTGCTACAGTATCCTCAGCCCAGCAGACCACCTAAATTGCTCTCTGTATTCTCCTCCCACCAGACACACTAATTAAAGCAGAGAGGAGGGCCATCACAGTGGTGCAGCCCTACAAACAGATGGACAACAAATGAAAGACTTCATTAAGGACAAATGTTACCTTTAATCTACGACTTAAATCAGCAGCTAAGACGCAAATGACGGCCTTGTTTCCAAYTGACCCTCAGCACAGAAGAATGTTTTCAATGTAAAGTGGGCAAACCCACATCAAAGCTACAACCATAAATATTTTTCAAGTCTTCAATAAGCATAATCTCATGTATACAAGATACGACATAATTTAGTAAACTATCAATTTCAGCCTTCTGTGCTCACCATATACATTTATTCTACAAACKTAACCAAGATTAATCAAAAACAAAGTGGAACCTGACCAAATTTGAGAGTAAAACCACACAGATGAAACTAAAACAAGCAGCTTGGCTGGCAGTTTTCATCATTTACTGGTTTAATGGTGAAAAAACATAAACGGGGCTACTGAGAACAAATTACARCCTAAAACTGAAACTATACTGGTACACGACAACATGAGGTCTGTGTTATTTTTCGCTCTTTATTGGGCATGATAATCTTTTAAATAGCGTTTTCATAAAATAAACCAGTCATTTAGATTTTAAGACAATATAAATAAATAGATTAGAGGTTTATATTTGTATCGTAATCAAACAAAATCAAAATATAAGTTACCTCAAGATAAATTGACACCAATTTCCTTAATTTTTGGAGACCAGCGATCTGCTGATACTTAAATAAGAAACCAATTGCATCTACCTAAATCAGCCACTGTCCCCTTTTGCTCACGTCCAGTTAAAACAGGTTTGTATTTTTTCAAAGGTATTTTTCAATGTTTTTCAATAAAATAAGATTGGAATGTTGAAGGTCTATTCTATTGTGACCTTATAACACCTGTCAGTGTCAGTTATTTAAAAAAAAAAATCTGTATTGGCCAAAATCGGAATCGGTAGGTCAGGCTTTTTAAAGATTGTGATCGACCAGAAAACAGAAAATCAGTGCGCACCCCTGAGGGAGACCCCAGAAAACCCAGGAAAATACTCCGGAGGACAGCCTTATATTTTTTTTGCCAAAGTCCTGACTTGTCATTTCAACAGCAAGAGGGGAATCTACAGAGCATAAGGTAGGTGGTCACAAGATTATGACTAATCAGTGTAGCGCCTCTTCAGTTCAAGTGTAGCAGTAAAACATGTTTGGTCTTAGAATGGAAACATTCTAAACTGAACTAAATGGGGTGGGGCTCACTTCTGCCCTTTCTGACAACATTGTGACACTGCTGATCTGTGCGGCATCTGTCAGTCTGCTGGAGGCCCAACCAAGAAACCTTGTTATCCTGCTACGCTGCCCCTCAATCCCCCACCCCCCACCAACTTCCATCAGTCCCTCAAGTCAGCCAAAGCAGACTCTGACAGCTACCAAATGAAAATGTAAATACAGTCTCTAGTATCTGGCTCTCAGAGGGCCATGTTCCAAAAAGTTTCCAACCTGTCATGGTTGTAGCTGTTTTTATTTATTATCATTTTGGGCTTAAAGCATTTAACGGAAAGTAGTAGGATATACTTAAGCAATAAATAAATAGAAGAGATTTATATTTAGGCCAGCGCGCAGCGAAAAAGGGAGGCAGTGAAGAAATAAAAAGAATCAGGTCATTTAAATCAGCAAGTCAAGTGAAAGCAATCACGTTTGACAAAAATCAAACCATTAGAGGCCACAGAGGGAGAAACACACATGGGCCAAACACTAGTTATACCCTCCAATGTAAAGAAAAAATAAAAATAAAAAAGGGATGGATTTGGGGTGAGGTGAGGGGCGCGAACAACAAAAAGGAGAGGGTCCAATGTTGTCCAAGGAATTAGCCAAGAAAGTGGAGACTGAATCAGATATGGGGGAGAAAAACAAATCTGTAGGTGAGTCAATGACATGAGGGACGCTTGTTAGGTCAAATAATCTAAATGGCCCCAACTTGAAGTGACTCAGGGGCAAGACAGAAACTCTGATAGAGACTATTTATTTGACTTTGTCAAAGGGATTAGACAGGGAAATGTTCCCCAGGCTGTCTCGCTGGTGAATCATAGTTCACAACAACACTGGTTGGGTATCAGTGAAAGAAGGTGTTGACGTAGAACTTGCCACAAGACTTGCAATCTGCTTTAAACTGAGGTAAAAAACAAAGCAAAAGCTGCCAGACAGAGCCTTGATCTGCCTCTTGCCTGCGACACTGCTGTTGAATGGAGCACATCTCCTGTGGCCCACTGACCTTTGACCTCCACTGGGAGCATGTGGAGCGGAGGGGAGGAGACCTCGTGTAGCAACAGCTTGTGTGCTACTCCTATCTCCCCGCTCTCCTCCTCATTCCTTGCAGGACACCATGCCACCCACCACCACCTCTTTCTTTGCCTCTCTGGGGAAATTTGGTAATGGCCTTACCAGCCGTCCCCATCGTTACTGCTGGGACTCCATAATCTCTCTGTGCACACACTCAGAGGGCTGCAGAGGGCCGTTATAAAAAGGTCCAAACCACAAAATGCCATGAAATTTATGTCTCGTTACAGAAAGTGGGTTGTATATTCCTCCCATCATAAACACGATGACAAGTGTTTTAATTCCTGCCTTTGTTTCAGATTAATGTGTGTTTCAGCATTAAAATTAACACATGCACAATTACTTCAGCAAAATAAGGTAAAAAAGGAGCATTTGAATTGACTTGCCTTTATTAAATGAAGAATTTTTGAATGGTAAATCAAATTTAACATTGTCTAAACAGTGACATTTGAGTCACGCAAAACACAGACTCGAGACATAATCTACTTTTGTGCTCGGAACCTCTTCTATTTGTAACATGTGCACAGTAAAAATAGTTAATATGGTTTTTGTTAGCCAGTAACCAAAGGCAAGTGGGTTTAGAGTAAACTGTACACTACACTGGAATGGGGAGACTCAGCAAAAAACAATATTCACTGCAAATACAAACCAAAAGTACCAGCGTGGCAAAAAGTACATTTTCTGCAAGCAGATTTTGCATTTAAAAAAATGTTAAACAGTTTCAAAACACTGAAAACATAAATTACTTTCATTCAAAAATAAATAAAAATACACCTAATTGATTTATAGCTTGTATGAGTATTCATATTCAAGTGTACCTGTTTTTCTAAAATGCGGGAGATCTCTCCAAGAGTTCTGTCCAGACCAGATGCTTTATTGTTGGCCCACTGACCACCATCCTGGCCCTGCAGTTGCTTCAGTAGGTCTTTCACTAAACGCTGCAACCTGAATAATAAAATTTTTTAAAAAAGCCTAAATTTAATGGCAATGTGGTCAAGATGCACTTTTCAGTAAACCAGCAGAACTGAAATTATTTTTAAATCAATTTGTTACCTGGTGTAAATAAGATGTGTTTGAAAATACATTTTATATGTATAATTTAGGTAAACATAAATTACTATTTCCATTCAATACTGACAGAATAGTGACTTTTTAATATATAAAGTGCATAATCATTTTTTATTGTTATCGTAAATCAGCATCTTCAAATGAATTATTTCAAAATACTACTAATAAAAATAATACATGGTTTTTTTTGCTAAAAAATATTTAAACAATAAAATAAATTAAGTGAACAATTAAAATGTTAAAATAGTTAAAAACTCTCACTTGGCTTTGTATGGGGAGTCTGGGACCTGATTCTTTGCTTCCATTGACGTCTCGTATTCCTTTGCCCTGCAGAAAACAGAAACGGGAAGTGTTTTTGCAACCCAGGTAAAAATTGTTTGCCCATCAATAATCACAGGAACAAAGATAAAAAAGGTGAGGTAATGGCTCGAGTMTGTGAAGCAAATTATTATGAGCTTAAAATAATGAAGGGAAAGCCATTTTGTTGCCATCAGTTCAAATTATCAAGACTTAATTCTTTGAAAATATTAAACAGTTTTTTCTTCGAACCAATGAGGGTGAATTAGTTCATCAGACAATGCCTGCAGGTGAAAAAAAGGCAACAAAGCTAATACCACTGCCTGAAAGTTCAAGGTCATATTGGGTTGTTATCCCAGTGGCATTAGGCCAAAAGACTCAAAGAAATTTAAATATCRGTTTGTCTGCCTTTGTGGTTAAAACTGAGGTGGACATTTATCTTTCAACCATTCCCAAACAYGATAAGTAACTATTGATCACCGTTTGACAGAGGACCTTCCAGGAATCCATCTCAACATTGATGAAATCTGGCATTTCCTGGATTTCAAAAGGTTGGTAACATTCCCAACACATCATACATGAACAAACTAATTACTATTCGCAAACTCCCTTAAGGGCAAAAACAACAAGGAGGCAAAAGAAACGGAAAATAACTAGTAGGGTTATTCACTTAAAAAAACAGTACATGATTAAAACATTGTTTTTGTTTTAAATTAAAAAGAAAAAATAATCTAGTGGAAGGAAAAATTCAATTCCACTTTTACAGCATCAGAAGTGACGTTGTGAAGTTTAGAAATATTTTTTAATTTAAATATGCCAAATAAATAATCAGCACACAGTTGCTACAAGAACACTCTCGTTTGTCATTTGCAATATTACTATATCAATCCCTGACAGGTTTATACCATATCATGTTAAAAAGGGAGTAACAGCTGAGCAATTCATTATAGCCATGTTAAACGTATAATAAATCTAGTAGACACCACAGAAACCAAGAGATTTTCATACTTTTTAAACATTTCAATTTCGTTTTACCACAATTTTCTAAACTGTTGCAAAAACATTTAAACCACAGTTAGTTCATGCAAACATTTACAGATTTGTTTTATTAATTATTCTGCAGCTCAGTGTAACCTGATGTATACATAAGCATTTTTATTCTTTTAGGCAGAGTATTAAATAAAACCGTTTCATTCTGCATTTCATTCAGGACTGTCTTCACACACACACTGCCACCTGTGTTTAACACACACGCAAAACACACTGACCACCTTGTTTCCTGCTCAGTGGAGCACAGGCAGCCATCAACAGCCAAACAACTTACATCAGAGCAGTGGAGACGTTGGTTTTGGTTTCAGAACCCAGTATTGAATACTGACTGGAAGGCTACTTACATTAAGTTTTATTAGCTTATTTTTCCTTCAAAAACATTTATTATCAAAAGAGGGTAGGGCCGGATTGCCTCAAAAAAAATGCTGAGAGCACAGCTTTATGACACGACAGGGCCCCCACGATGGCTTTGAGAAAAGCGCTGTGAGAACCACTCACTTTTACGGACACCATACGGTGTTCCAATAAAATGGTTCATTTCCACCCAGCGGTGAAGTGGCTCACCTTTATGTTTACAGGGTTTCTGTGTTATTTATGACCTCTAAAGGCCTGCTGCCTTTGAGTGCCGGTCTCTGCGGGGCTGCTGCCGAGTGATGGCGAACAGAGGCAGATCGTGTTGTCACTTCTGCAGCACCATTGAGTTTCACAATTGTTAAAACCAGCAATGCTAACAATAAAGTGTCGACGATGAATGGGTGTTTAAACCTGGAGTTGTCGCTCTAGTCATCTCAAGAATTTATATGCTCTTCTGAGCAGCACATCAACAATATAAACTTTTTAGAAACGTCCCAAGCAGTGATGATAATAGCATTGCCAAATAATGTTAAAACTTATGATTCTAACTGTAGCAAAATGTATAAATCATAAAACACACTAGGGCTGCAACGATTAATCAATTAATCGACAACTAATCGATTATTAAAATAATCGATGACTAATTTAATAATCGATTAATCATTTTCTTTTTTTGTTCTTTACTTTGTTTTTCTCTCCAAACTGCTTTGACTCCTTCCACTGCCACATCTGCCTTTCTGTCCTTGACACACATGCACAGTAGTGGTAACTG